ATGCATGAACTTGTTTTCAACAAATCTCTTCTTTAGTCTAATTATTCTTGTTGTTAATCCTTGAATAGATTTTTCTTGATAGATAGATATGATCATATAATGGATAGAGAGGTCAACAATAAGATATTGTGAAAACTGCTATCTATCAAAATCTATTTAATAATGAATTTGGTTTACAGGACACGATAATTTTGACAAAAATATCTATTATGTGAAGTATATATTATAAACATTCGTATAGCACAAATATTTTCTCGTAAGTAAAAAGAGAAAACTATTTGTTTCATCATCTAGCAAAATAAACATATTTCTATTATCCAAAAAAGAATGTATGTATGACATATTAATTTGAGAAAACTATTTCATATTACAAAACTGACATGATAGATTTCAAGTAATATTTGAGATTCGAACCGAAATCTTTCAGAAATCATTTATTAATTGTACTCACTATTATCAATATTATGCATTATCATAAGAGTAAGGTGACTTTTCCTAAAACTTATTTCTAGAATATCTATTCATTTTTACAAAATATTGGTTAATAACAGACATAATGAATTGAATTAAATCTAAATGCCATTTTTTGTTCTCATTCAAGTTCATACAAGATATTTATTCATTTACTAAAAGTCTCTATTTGCTTGATCCACTTTTGGATATCCAAGTTTTACTTGGAAGTTGAAAATATCTTGAAAATAATGCTCATAGTAGTTTTTTCAGCAATGAAATTTTTTTTTTCAGTTAAAGTTCAATTAGAAAGTCCTTATTTGGATAAGAAAAAAAAAGTGGAATTTCGTTTTTAATGGATATAATATTTTACTTTTCTCTTTCATTTATTGTATCCTAAAATTTTACAGGAGCTGTCGTTTAAAATTTTGAAAGATAGACAATTCTATCGAAAATATTTTCGCTTTTGTAGACGTACAGTGAATTTTTTAATAGCTATTTGACCCTTTTTGTTTTCGTTCCTCAATTGGAATGTACATTGTATCTCAGTATGTTGATTACTTCGAAACTAAAAAAAAAAATTCTTTATAAAAATAAAGTACATAGTTTTGTAGAGCTAAAAATTCTCCATCTTTTGATGTATAAGTGAATATTTTATTTGAATAGTAAATGATTAAAAAATTTCCATTTAAAATTAATCCAATTCATCATTTTATGTGTCTAGTGTGGATATAAATACTGTTCCCTAGAGAAAATACTGAGTTCAGAGTACTCATGTACTGAGAAAGCCTTACCAGGGTACCCAATATGGGTACTCAGAAAATTCTCAGTAATTATACTAATGTAGGTACTCTTTGGGATACCCATAAAAGTACGCTCACTGAACAAGTACTTGTATGGATACTTGGATCGGTAATTTTACTGAGGAAAGCTCTACAATGTACCCTATATTTGTCGCGTTCTGTGTAGCGACTATTCATTCATCGTTTTCTTTTTCACGCACGGCTTCATATAAACAACTCGATAAATCATAAAAAAATAATCTATTTTCATATCAATTTTTTTTCTAAATTATTTATTGACTATCTCCTAGTCGAGAAAATGCCAAACTTGATCATAGATTAAGATCGGACTACCCTGATGTGGTCTACGACCAACTCAAATGGGGTCAGATCCCAACATTACAACTGCTAATTTTTCAAAATTGAAAATATTACATTGAATAAAATCAGAAAAAATATGGTAAATTCCTTTGAGAGACAAAAACTAAAAAAGTGAACGGCCAGGTTCGATCCTGGGCATATTGAGACTTCCGTAGCAGAGTACCTAGAAATACTATACAACAGTACCCAATTGAATATCTGATCAGTACCTTCAAGTACCCAGTTACTACATATTTTGTAGCAGAATACCTATCAAAGTACCACGTAGATACTTTCAAGTACCTGGAAGTACTTTGGTACCCAAAAGTTCCTGTGACATACTGGTAACAGGGTACTTTTTCGGGTACCCTTCACTCAGTACATTTTCTAGGGTTTGCATTCACACCCACACCCTTACCCCAATGTTTGCATTTGCTTCTCTATTAGGAAAATATTATCTTGAGTATGTTGCAAAACTGTTTTACAATTTATTACATAAAAAGTTAGTCGAGTCACAAGACTGATTAAAAAAAATATCGACTGATTCACCATATGTGAAATGGATGGCACGATTGAAAGAAAGAAACAATCAAATGAAATATTCTTAGCTGTGATTCATAAACTATTTATTTGTGTACTCTGAGCGAAATCAGCATATGTAGACAGAAATACAAAGATTTCTCTGTCATCATGATAAATATAAAGATATCTTAACATGAACAGAGAATGCAAAAAATTTAGAGAATTGATTAAAAACATAGTTCATTATCCTTTTTTTGGTAATATAATCTTCACAACTTTCAATTTTTAGTCATGCCGAAACGAAAATACAATAATTTCAATAATTCTAAGAAAAGACAATAGTCATATACGTCAGGAACAGATCTTGAATGTAATAAAAATATTCATGATGTGACATAGTACATCTCTTTACACTTCATTCATGACAAGATGTGGATGTTAATATAAGTTATGTTGGTATTAAATATTTTTATTGTATTACTACTAGTATGTTTTCTATACTGTCCAGATAGAAAAGAAATTGAGATGTACAGATCGATCTTTTGTCTTGTCAATCTATTTAAATTACTTAAATATTTCTCTGAAGAATATTACATAGTCTAATATTTACATGTTATCCTTACCCAAGCAGTCAGAAATGACAAAATAACACGTTTTAACGGACACTTTTTGTTTTTCTTTGAACGCATTGGGTGTGGGTGGGTGTGGGTGTGATTGAAGATGATACCCACACCCCACACCACACCAACACCCATACCCACACCCACACCCTTACTGTAATTTCCTTTTTTTATTTAGCGCTCATGATACCTCTGGCAATGGCATTCAATCCTCAAATTATTTTCTTTTCTTTGCTGTTTTAAGTTAATTATCCTCATAGCTGTGCATAGCCGTGCGGGCAATCCGAATCGTTTGGTTCGATTTGATTTTTCTCTCTCGTCATTGATTTATGTTCGCAACGATCATTAATTTCATTGGAAACAAGAATTTAGTTTACTTTGCTGTTCTCCGTTCGATAGCATCAATACTTTAGCTGTTTGCTAACAGAGAAACGAAGACAGCTAGTTTGCTTTACTTCTTTCTTTTACTCAATTATTCCGATAGTTGCCGGAGATTTTACAGAGACAATAGAATTAAAAATGCTTTTCTGTTCTTTTTCAGTTAGTTATTCTGAGAATTGCTCGTTATTCTTCCGAGAAAAACTTAACAAAGAAACGGAGAAAGGTAGTTTAGTTTACTTCCTTTTTAATCTGATTGTTCCGATAGTTGTTGGGGATTTTACAAAAGTAATAGGCTGACAAAAGCTGTTTTCTTTTCCTTTTTGTCAGTTGGTTATTCTGAGTATTGCTTGTCATTTTTCTGAGAAAAAAGCTAAAAGGTTAGTTTGGTTTGATGTTTGTCTGTTATCATTGAGTTATTCTGAAAATGGACGCGCATTTTATAAAAAGAATAATCGAATAACTTAGTTTCATGCTCTTGTTTTCTAATAATTAGGTCCCTGCTTTGCCAACTTGATTTCAGACAAATGTAAAAATGTAGTTTAATTTCTTTTTACTTTTTTCTTTATCCTACAAAGTCTTGCGCATTACATAATGGAAATTTATTTTAGAAAATTAGCCTTGCTTTGCTTTTCTTCATTTTATTATTTTGAGAGTTGTCAAATATCATATTGGAATGAACCGAATAAGTTAGTTTTGTTTTGCTCTAGTAATTTTAACGATGATTTCTTGGGTCTTAAGGCAGGTCAGAGATGAGCACAGGACAACTTTTTCTGTCCTGTTCTGTCAGCTACCTCTGTCTTGGTGGGCGGCAGGACAAGATATCAAATTTTTTTCTGCTATTTTGTCCTGCCGAATTATTCCGCTTTCGCAGATCACTGAAAAGTAAATATGGAAGTTTGTATTTCACTTTCAAAGCCCGAAGTACGTAAAACGGTATTAGTTATTTTATAGCTAATTTTTTCATGTAATATTTAAAGGCAATAAATACGGTGTAAATAACCACTTATATTATAGATACAACAAACTATACGATAATTCTAACTTTTTACTTTGACCCTAAAAATCCAAAGGAGTTTATATTTACAACGAAAAGTAACTGGTCACAGAAAAGTAGATTATGAACCTCCACTATGCTCACACTAAAGCAGAAAAGCGTTAGCTCGTCGTTCTTCGTGAGTTATAGAATCCACCTTGAAAGGAGTAGTTGGCCGTATAGAAAAATAGAAAAAAAGGAATTTTAATCTAAAATTAGGTTAGAAATAGATAGGATGATCGCAGAATTACACTGAAATTTTCAGTCGTATTGGATGCTTTCCCATCCAGATATTTAATACAAAAAAGTCCTCACATTTCACAAAAATTCTCAGAAAGGTAATTTTTATTCGATATATGGTAAATCTATAGGAAAGCATCAATTCTGGCTGCAAAATTTCACCACATTCAAAGGATCTTCAGATCTGTTTAGGAGTAAAATGTCAACGAAAACCCTTGTTGCTTTCGATTTTCTCATCAGTCTGAGTATTTCTTTCAAGAAAAACTGTCACTAAGATGCCATCATGTGTCAATAGATCTCTTAGAAACTCATTGGGTCGTTTGTTAGCTGTCTTCATGTTATGCTTAGTAACATCGCTCAGACGAAGACGAAACCTCATGTTACACTTATGAACAAACAATGTGGAGTGGGATGGGTGTGGGTGTGAGTAAAGAGAAGAATGACACCGACACCCACACCTAGGGATGCACCAAATCCTAGAGTATGATATCAAAGAGGACAATTTTTTCTGTTAAAAGTGTGGTTGGCTTTCAATTGTTTGCATCAGTTAAGACCAGTTTTTTTCGCTCTATCGGAAACTGTGATCGAAATTTCTGAACTCAAAAGTAAGGGTTATGGAATTGATCTAGAATTGGTCGAAAAGTGGAATTTTTGAACTTTTTTTGGCCAATTCCAATCAGTTCCATAACCTTTATTTTTAATTTCAGAAATTTTGATCACAGTATCAGATACAGCGAAAAAAACTGAATAGAATTGACATAAAGAATCATCGGATACTCTACAGCTATGCAAAACTAGAGGTATGGTACTTTATGCTGTACAAACCAATTCCGATCAATTTTTTCAATTTCTCAATGAAAATCAGAATAGCTTTAGTCTTGTGAATTGTGAGATTTTCGATAATTCTTTATATCAGTTGAAGTCAGTTTTGAATGCTCTTTCAGAATCCAGCGAGATATTTTATCCAAAAGAAAGCGCAAATCTCAAAATCAGTTGAAATCGGTCAAAAAAAGTTCAAAAATTCCACCTTTCGACCAATTCTAGACCAATTCAATAACCTTTATTTCTAATTGCATAAATTTTGATCACAGTTTCAGATAAAGCGAAAATAATGGTCTTAACTGACGCAAACAATTGAAAGCCAGCTACACTTTTAACAGAAAAAATTGTCCTCTTTGATATCATACTCTAGGATTTGGTGCATCCCTAAGTGCAGGTGTCGGTGTCATTCCTCTCTTTACTCACACCCACACCCACACCCACACCCGTTGAAATCGACCTTTTACTTTTATATATTGATTCAATTTGTTGATCTATCTCTTCATCATCGTCATTCGCATCTTCTAGACCTATCAAAATTCCTTGCATTCTCTTCTGCATATTTTTGTGTTGTTTGTCAGACGAATCAAAATTGTAACCATGTCGTCCGCCAAAAGATCCACGAATATCTTGAACTTTTTTGCCTTGTGCTTCCATTTGTTTTACATAGTTATCCCGTAGTAAAGTTAATTCTGCTGGCACGGACGTTCCAGATGCTTCTAAAGCTTTTATTATTGCACCGACATATTTTTCTTGTGCAGACGTTATAAATGTATAGGCATAACCGATGTTTCCTGCACGACCTGTTCGTCCACAACGATGGACATATTCTTCATAGTGATTTGGACAATCATAATTAACAACGAGAATCAAATTTTTAACGTCTAAACCTCGTGCAGCGACTGAAGTAGCGATTATCAATGGTATGTCACCATTTTTAAAGAATGCTATTGTCGAATCACGATCATATTGATCGAGTCCACCATGTAATGGCATGCATGAATATGAATGGCTCATTAGTTTTTTTTATCAATTCATCGCAACGGATCTGTGACTCGACGAACACTAAAACAGAACCATACGGTTGATAAAGACCAAGTAATTCGAGCAATTTAGCATATTTTTGATCGTCATCATCAAAAAGAAGAACATTCTGTACGACATCTTGGCAAACAATACTTCGACCACCAACTGTAACTTCGATTGGCTTATAGAGATGTTGACGAGCCAAGGCTTCCATTTTTTTAGGAAACGTAGCTGAAAACATCACCAGTTGACGATCCGGTCGAATGCTGTTAAGAATTGTTCTAATCTGTGGCTCAAAACCCATATCAAACATCCGATCAGCTTCATCGATAACAACATACGTCACACGTCGAAGATTTGTTACTTTGTTATTATTCAATGCTAACATATCAATCATACGTCCTGGTGTACACACAATGATTTCTGCGCCACGTTTTAATTCTGATATTTGCTCAGCTACTCCGATACCACCATAAACAGCAACACAACGAATATCAAACAATTTGGCAAATTTTCTACATTCTTTTGTGATTTGTAATGCTAACTCACGAGTTGGAGTCATCACTATAGCTATTGGACCATCTTGATATTTTAGTGGCGGTTGTTCTTCTATATGACGAAACATTGGTAGTAAAAATGCCAATGTTTTTCCACTGCCTGTTTGAGCGATACCCATCATATTTCGTCCGGAGAGTATAATCGGCAAGGCTTGAGTTTGAATGGATGTTGGCTTCTCATAGTTATCCTTTTTTAAGCGTTTTAGTATTTTGGTCGATGTGATACATTGCGACCAAGTTTTGATTGGGTTTGGACAGTTTTTTCCAGCTATTTTCATATTATCGAGTTCTCTTCGATAATGAGCGACTTTTGTAGCTGTCATTTGAGCTATTTCAGGGACAGCTATATAGAAATCTTTGCGAAATGGTTGATGAATAAACTCGTTATGTTTAGATATAATACTATCTGCTTTCGATTTTTTACCATTCAAAGATATCATGCTACTAAGACCGTCCGCCTCTTCAGTACATTCGTCTTCAGGTGAATATTCTAAGCCATCTATGTCTTGTTCCATAATAATACCTTTCTCTATCACACGATGAGTTTTACTAGGAGAAGTTGCTAAAGACTGATCCAGTGTGTCCATGAATTCAATTTCTGCATTCTTCTCGGCACTCTTCGATTGATTCGGCACAGTTGTATTGTTTTTCTTAATAATTCTTATAATAGTTCCGTTTTGATTTATAACCGACACTTTTGTCTGATAATTACTCTGCATTACTGTATTATTACTAGTCCTATATTTTGTATGATAACTAGTTAGTTCTTGCTTAATGCCTTCCATGTATTTATCCAAAGGATCCTCTTCATCGGTTTCAACTGACACTGCAGTAGTGCCTTGGAAAGTATCGTCATTATAACCTTCTCCTGGTTTGCTATTGACATTCCCAGTAGAGTGCGTCGTAGTCGACGGTTTTACATCTTCATCACCCACAAGTTCTAATTCACGTTCCAATCGCCATTTTGCGGCACGTAACTTGCGTTCTAGAATTTCTTGTTCGAGGTGTTTTTGTTCAAATCTTTCATCACGCCATTCGTTTTCGTGTTTATCCAACGATACATGCGTTTTTCGACGATTTGATATCGGAGATCGTGATCGTGATCGTCGACGTCTAGTAGGATCACTGGATGTTGGGTACCTAAAAGATATCATTCAATAGCAATCAGAAAAAAACAAGCGTTTTTTGTAAGCGTACCTCTCTCTATCTAACTTGTAAATGTATTTAGCATAGTATAAAATACTTTGTCTTCACACAAACTATATACGAAGAGTAAGAGTGCTTCTATATTACGAAATACAAGTGTTAAAGTAAACCTAAACTGAGTCACGTTGGATATTACACATACGTTAAGCAATCATACTTTGGATTGTGAAATAACATTATTTACGGCAAGCGAACGATTGAAAACGTGTAGTGACACCGTGCGTATAAAGAATTCAACTGCAAATCTATGTTAACGCTTCAGCCTGAAAATGGCTAAGATCGAAGTGTAGTATCTGTTCTCGTCGATGTAAAAGCCGCCGTCTTTCATACTAATTTTTGAAACTTAGTAGCGAATATCGGACATTTTGCGTTTCTAAAACCCGTGTACGTTCATAAACAAGAAGCAGAAAGTTTACCATGGTATTACCAGAAATCATATGAACAAAGTCATTTTTTGGAAAAAGGTCTACTATATGATACTACTAGTTTATTTAGATATTTCAGTATTACGAACAACAACAGTAAATCTTACACTAACTTTTGTCAAAGTTTCTAATACCTAATAAACACAAGCAATGTCATTGATTGTAAAGGATGTGAGTCATATACAATGTTGCGTAATGACAGAAGAAATGAGGTATTGCGCAAGACATCCGTGAATTTCAAAACCACGGTGTGTAGGATGAGAAAAGGTTTGAAAATGTGTAAAGACACTCTGAATATAAAGACAGCACCTGAAAACCTACATTACCGCTTCAGCCTGAAAATGGCTAAGATTGAAGTGTAGTATCTGTTCTCGTCGATGTGAAAACCGCCGTCTTTCATACTAATTTTTGCAACTTGGTAGGGATCATCCGAGTATACTTGGGCCCTTGCCACGGATCAACTTGGCCCAGCATTTAAGCCTTGCTTGATCCACTCCTGTTTCCTTCGGGGAAATAGGACGTACCTTCAAACTAAAATGAAAATCTGAATAGGAAATGGATTCAAAGTTATTTAGTGCATCGGACTAAAACTCTAAATGTAGGATCCACTAGCAAGCATGATACTCTTGAGAATATATGACGATTTATCTGGCATAACTAAATAGTTATCTTCATTGTCAATTCATGCGTCTTATGACGTTTCAAGAGTAAATATTTGACTCTATAAGCACCTAAGTCACACACGCGTTGACATTATTGTCATATCAGTGAGAAAGAAAAACGAAATTTGTCTATTATCTCTGCGTGCGCAAGCAAACAGAAGAAAACAACGCTTCATTGACAAAAATGTATAAACGGCTTTTACTCATTTTGAACTTATGTTCGATTACTCTATCTTGATATTCCTGTCCATTTAATAATGGATCATTGAATATGACGATTGCAAATAGCGCCATAATCCAAGCTGAATGCATGTATTTGACTAGTCCACTTGAGTGGGATCATTTTAACCCGAACACATTTGATGGCTTCTATTGCAATTCCACAAAGTCTATTCCACTAACTGATCTACACATGAAACGTTTATTTTTATCAAATTCTCCTCCACGAAATATTTCCAAAGTGAAGCATATCATTAATTATTGACTTGTCAATTGTGCTGATGACTCTCAATTCTTAATGGAATCGTTTGGAATAGCTATATTGAAACAAATCATCTTAAATCTTTACCATGAGAAATATTATGAAATAAATCCTATTATATATTTATTTCAATATAGAGTGGTAGGATTAAGCAAACCTTCCATTCATTCTCATACGGCAACAACCTGAACTGATTGCGCAAAAGAATTAATTCAAACAACAGTACCAACATCAGTAAATGAGTCGTTGAAAATAATTCATGCTATGAGAAATCAGAATATAGCTCAAGATTTACAATATCAGACTCAATATTCGATTAACCAATCACAATCTATATGTCCAAGGTCAACTTATATCTATGGATTAAGTCAGTGTGAAGGGTGTGGGTGTGGGTGTGGGTATGGGTGTGGTTGTGGATTTAATGAGTAGAAGACAAGACACACACCCACCACCCACACCCACAACCACCACACCCACACCCACACTCACATACCAAACCCCACACCCTTGTAATGAACGATCTAATACTGTGTGCTATGTGCAGAAAAGCTCTTTGTTATTATCATCTCATTGAAGAGCTACATCTGCATTTGTAGCACATGTGTTTAAATAGCGTGTTATATAGTATATTGCTTTCAGTTGAAATAAAATTGTCGAAATTATTGATAAGCTCAACGTCGCGATAACTACTAGCTGATATGTATATGCAATATTTCGATACTGCTTATAGAAGATATCCAAACTGATGGTATTGATAAACTTTAGAAAGATTCTTGTAGCCTACTATTGAATTCCACAGTCGATCAAATAAAAAATGAATACAAATAGTCTTATTGTTCCTATGCACCTTTACTGTGAGTAACGTAAAAATTGAATATCTCCATCTAACCAAGCCAACGGCCGCTAATGTTTTAACCTTGTTAGTTTGGCGATGAGAGCTTTCATTTGACCCGAACATGTGCCATCTTTTCACCTATCAACACACATACCTCCATTGTAAGAAGAGCACGCACTTTAAACGTTAGATAAAATAAAATAAGAATGTCGTTCTAATGGTCTACTGGAATACACGATTGATGCATTAATGCATAGTTTTTAAGAATATTATTTAAAATCATTTAGTTTTGTTTCAGATTTATAAGTATCAAGGATCTATACGGTGATTTTTCGATCAAGCCTCATCATATAAAAAATAATAATCTATTTGAGAGTATCTCAGTTATGAAATCGAATTTCATTTTTGTTTATATTTTATACTAATAAATACAAAGATCAAAGTATATTCAAATAAGAGTAAACGATTATTTCTAGTCAAACTAACTTATACACGTGCTTATGAATAAATTCAAATACCTAACATTGGAAAAATTCTGTTATCAATCATATCAAACAAATAAACGTCCGAAGAAACGACTGCCTTAAAGACTTTAGAAGAATAATTTATAAGACCCCATCAGGCTTGAAAAACATCGTACAGTCTTTTGATAGTCATATCAATAAAATGAAGAAAAAATTTATGTAGATTGAAAAGACTATGTTTACGAAAAAAAAACAGTTTTGAACCTATTTTTTCTTATGAGATCAACAGTTTTGTTAAGCTTAAAAATAATCTACACAATAGATTTTTCTAAATATAGTGTGAATGATAGTTATAATCTTGATCTTGAGAGTGTGGGTATCGATATCGGTATACACTGTTTGCCTTAGGGTACTACGAGACCGATGAAAATCTTCAGACCTACACCCCTCACCCATACAAATACCCAATCTCGGAACGATAGCCATATCCAACCATTCACAAACACTCTTATGTTGCACTCTTAAAAGAGATTCATATCCATACCTAAATTAGTTATTTCAAAGCAAAGCACAATAATGGAAGGACACGTAAACTTATCTCGTTGAGAAACATTAAGTAGAAAGTGAGAGTTTGTTTAAAACTACGATTACGAGATTCAATAGATTTCAAACTTTTGAACTCGATGATTATAAGCATCGACTACAAAGAGATTTCCGTACCGATCAAAAGACAGACCGATTGGCTCATTTAGTTGATCTGGTTCAGAACCAGCGCCTTTTCCACCAACAAGAATCTGTCCTTCTGTTGCTCCTTTCAGCCAACGCATTATTCGGTGATTGAGTCTATCTGCAACATAAACAGTTCCCAACTGGTCGACGACGACTCCTTCAGGTTTACTGAGTTGAGAAAGAGAATCTCCAATACCATTACCACCAGCCACCACAATTCCTTCTTTTGCTCCTTCTACCCACTTCATCACACGATGATTGTTCCAGTCTGACACATAAACTGAACGGTCTCGATCAACAAATATTTTTCTCGGGTTATTGAGCTGGTCAAGCCGATTTCCTGATTCATTTCCTCCTGCTACTACAGTTCCCTGGGTTTCTCCAACCTGCCATCGTCTAACCTGGTATCCCTGCCAATCAGTGACGTAGAGAAACCTCCGATCATCCATCGTCAAAAAGATATGAAGTCCTGCATTAACTATTGCTTCTCCATTGAATGCATCCTGAAGAGGCCATCGTAAAATTCGATTGTTCATCTCATCAGCAATAAAGAGACAGTTTCTTGCTTTGTCCACAATTACGTCATGTGGCACATTTAGCTGGTCAAGCCTATTTCCTTGCCCATTTCCACCAGCCACAACTTTGCCACTAGTTGCTCCAGGTTTCCATTCAACAATTCGGTGATTCGAGTAGTCCGCAATGTAAAGAGTTTGATCATCATCAACGAACAAAGCAACCGGGATATTAAGTTGATTTATAGAAGCTCCTGCTTCGTTCCCTCCGGCTACAGTGATACCATTCTTTTTCCAAGCTGAACCAAACTTGATATTAGCCGAACCGAGAGGAACTAAAACAATCCAAAAATCTGTTTTCTTTAGCGTTTAGAGGCAAATAGAAAATGTGATTGAACAGGATAAGGAAAAAGTATTTTGATCTCAGTATGTACCAAAAAGTACTTGATTAACAAGAGAAAGGAAAATCATGATAAAATAAACTTTCTCTGAAGGTTTGTATTTGAAATCGGTTTGAAGTGTTCTTCACAAGTCTAAAACATGTAAAACAGGTTGTCTTCAGAATCTCAACTTAAGTACTATCGAAAAATATTTCAGATAGAAAATGAAATTAGTAAAGTTTTCTGAAAATTCTCATTGTCGATAGATGGGCATCAAACAATTTTGGGGAAGGAATCAAAAGTAAGACCTTTGTAATTTAATTGTTTTTCTAAACTATCACCAGCTACTGTTATTCAATAGGAAAATTTTTCAACCGCAGAAATTGAGATCGAAAATTTCCTCTATGGACCGACATTTTTGTTCTTTCTAAATATGTTTCAGTTCAAAAACAAAGCCCAAAAAATGTACGTAATTTATTGCTGACATCCATTATTCTTAAAACATTAGGAGAAACAAATATTGTAAACCAAATATTGTCACATGCCCTTAAACACAAACATTACTGAGGACCTATTTTACTCATAAAGTCTGAAGTCCTTATTACTCCAAACAGTTGGTTTCTGAGGTCAAGTAACATTCTGCTTCTGAATGAACTTTCACAACGGTCCCTTGAATCCCTTTATGCGCTTTTTAAAAAAAGTAGGAATCCGCTGCAGCTACAAAGATAAAGCAGGCAAGGCTCTTTGAACTCGCTCGATTTTTGGCGTTGCTTAACATAGTTTTCAATCAAAATTAATAAATATTTAACTTTGTCGAGAAATAAAGTTTCAGTTAGTTGAAAGTTCACTTTGTGAATTCTAATTATTATTGAATGATAAATGATTATTGAGTTGAGATTATTTAAAGCAGATGCATCTAGGTAAATAATGAAATGCCCGATTTGTTGGTATACCCATGAATAACAAATTTGTATAAAAAACAATTCCAACGCAAAATTTCAGAGAAAATACGCTGTTTTGCGTTTTAATGCATCTTATTTGGCCTGAGCCGCATCTAATTAAGCGTGTCAGTTTTCATTTACAACCAGTTTTTTCAACTTACAATGCCACATAAAACCGTTGTTCGAACATATTTTATTTTACTCGTTACGACGCATTTATTTGTTATGCATTTTTGTTTCTTTTGCTGAAAACATGATCTCTTTACAAACGCAACTAAACGCATATTTTTCAACACGTTTTTATTGCCGGAAAACGGTTTTTCTAATAAAAGTGTTCGAAAGTGTATTTCAACTCATGCCTTTTCTTATACAGAGGAAGCTTTTACAAGCACGTTAGAACGTATGTTTTCATACATTTCTCACATAACAAGTAATTAACTTCACAAGAAGGTTGAAAGAATGTTTTGATTCGTACTTTGAGTGAAAATATCGTTATGGAGTAAAAGTCTACTGTTTTTCAGAAAAAACGTGACACATGTCCTTTTCCTGTTCTCTCCATCGAGTACCGCAGTATTAATTATAGAATTCGTCTGATCTATATTCTTAGTGTCTTTTTGTGAAACACGATCTGAAAGGAGTTGTGAAGTGTTTAGGGGTAGAAATTTGGACACCCTCCCCCCCCCCCTCCCACAGACTGTGACAGAGAAAATCCATACCAATCACAAACCGTGACAGAGAACCCGGGTACCCATCACAGGCTGTGACAGAGCGTGATAGAGAAAGTGTAGTTGTAAAGTATCAGATATACGGTCAGCTACAAATGTGTCGTAATGAAATGGAGCAAAAGGATTTCCATTTAATTAGTAGCAATAGGTCCATCGTGTTTCACATTTTTAATCCCACAAGGGATTGCGCTAACAGCTTTTTCTTTATTCTTTTGTGTTCGTTTCCGTATTCACTTTCCCTATTGACAAGAAAAAATTACTGTAACTGAAATATGATCATCTTAAAACGAAGCAAAATGTTAAAAGAAGAACGTGTTTGCGCAGCTTCAGACCATGCTGCTATTGCTAGTGTGAAGGGATTCAAAGGCTCACGAAATTTCTTTTTACATATGCAGAACAAAGAATATACAAGGCGTAGACATGCCAAATTTTTATTTTCCTCTATTTTCATTGGGAGATAAGATGAATTATGAAAAAAACATTTTTCAAAATAAATATAAATTATTATCATTTATATTTGTAAGAAATCAACTATGTTTATTTTGAAAACTAAATTTTCGTGTCGAATTTTTTTCACGTATAAGTTAAAGCAAGAATATTTATATTTATTATAAGTGTAACTTATAACAAATTAATATACTAAAATTATAGGTCAAAAAATAATCCAATCTATATTTTTTTAATAAACCATAAAAAATGATGTATCTCAGTTTGTCCAATAGCAGGAAAAGATTGGCCTTTTTTATAGTAACAATTTCATGTAGAGAATTATTTCTTAATTTAAGTAGAAAATTCAACAGATTTACCAATGTGTAAGTATAGTCTAATGGTATATACTAGACTTTGTAATTACACGTTGTTCTGGTCGAATTTGCTCTATGATAACAAATAGAAGCTTTGCAACGCGTTCGGTGTGAATTACGGCTACAGAAGGTCGATAGATGACTATTCGTCCAGAGGAAAAATGAATTCTGAAAAAGGCATTGAACACGATGTTTATGTTGAAAATAACAGTGTTTCTCTTCAACAATCTTATGTATTCGTAGTCATCTAAAATGCTTTTTATTACTTAAAAAAAACGCGTTATAACGCAAACTTTTTATAAAATTTTCTCTCGTGAGTAGTCGCTAGTTTTGTCGGTTGGACTTCAGACCTGGCTATATCCTTGATTACTCCCCTTAGAAACTGCACAAAGTGATTCTCTGAATTTGGATTCACAATTCAGCAGCAACGAGGGTGTAGTTGGTGATATTATCTGTTTCTCAAACATATATCCCCACATTAAGTACCGAACTATTTTCCTTGTGCAAAACCTAAAAATAACCTAACACTCAAATTGGAAAATGATTAAGATGAGTAATAAGCCTATCCTTTTATAAGTGTAGCAAATTACTCGTGTCTCAGAGAGCATTCTATCTTCTTTTAAAATAATAACAACATAAATCTGAACCTAGGTACTGCATTAATGCGTAAACTAACGAATAGAGTGTGAATGTAGGTGCGTATTACGAATTCACTGTCTCTATTGTAACTCATAATCATAATTGAACTCAGCAGCTATCGCAACACTGCGAACAATCAGAAAAATAGAATTTTTGATACTGCTTTTATCAAGCGTCAAATAGAATTATTTTGCTTGTCTTATTTGGCGTATTTGATGCTGAACTTTTTGTAATATGGATGCATGTGAAGTGGTACTGTGTAAGAATTTCCTCAGTTGGCAAACGCAGTAAAGATGAACAGAAAATAGATGTAATATCAATGAAATAATTTTACTGTTCTTCGAATCTTACAAAAACGACTAAAAATCACACTGATTTCTTGTAATGCACAGAAACACAAAGCTTGCATTACTTACAATGATTCGATGAAGAAGTGTAATTACATCTTGTACCAGCAGGGCACTTCATGCAGTATGTTGATCCGGCTTTGACGTTGTATGTTCCCAAGGGACAGGGACTACAACGTTCCTGAGCTATGCAAGAAGAATATGTGCCAATCGGACAAAGCTTCGGGCGTTGGTCAGGATCCTTGCACATGTAACCAGTCGGGCACGGATCACAAAAAGCAGAGCCATTTTGCAGGGTATAATGTCCACGTTCACAAGGCTTGCATACACCATCTCCGTATTGGCTATAACTACCGATTGAACATGGAATCGGCTCAAAATGACGATTAAAGCTTCTTGAACCAATAGTGTTTTGTAGGCAATAGAAACCTGCTGGACACTTAAAAGATTCTGATCCAAAAGCGTTAAGAAAAGAAAAAAAGCCAATGATGATAAAAAAAGCCAATGATGGTAAAAAAAGCTGTTTTGCACATTTTGTCACATAGCAGATATCCTTCCAACCATCTTTTATACAAGAAAGTTACGCATTGAATCTAATTCTGATTGAAACTTAATTAAAACAGTGATTATAGTGTGACGAGCTTCATCAGCATATTCATGGAAACTCATAAATGCATAAATAGGGTTAGAGCAACTACTAATATGTCAACTGTGATAAATCGATTTATGTGATTCATTGAATTGCCAAAATCATCGTAGCGGCTTTCTGAATCAACAAACAGCCGTGATTAAAAAGAGAGATATTGTGTATGCCATTGTAATGCGCTCAAGTAACAATTATTCTGTATGGGATCCATTACTGGAGTGGCTGTGGATTGTGGGTGTGCGTGTGAGTGTGGGTTCATCAGAACTAGAATAACACCCAAACCCACGCACCCACACCCACACATTCAGACAACACCGACATTATTAAAAACGAACAGCATGCTTTTCTGCATAATACTCTACACATCAAATGAATGCATAATACTTCACCGATTATATTATAATATGCAATATACTTTAAATTATTAACCATAAGTAATATAAAATGAGGAATTGAATTAATGGACTCGGCAAAGAGAAAAGTTATGGTGATTTTCAAAGTACAGACAGACCATCACATATACTATGGGATATTTTATTTAAATCTAAGATTAAAATGGAAATAGAGAAACGCGCTCCACTCAGAAATGAGCAGCTAGAAGACCTAAAGTATAGGCGTGGATATTTTACTCTCAAAGCCGCACACCAAACCCACCTTCATACACACATTTGCACATACACCAACATTCTAACGACTATGAAAACTATACTGGAACGATGCAAGAGAGCGGCAATGTTTGCGATCATTTTGTGAAACACGACCTAACAGGAGTGCTCAAATATTTAGGGACGGAAATTGGAACATCTTCCCCATAGGCCCTGACAGAGATAATCCATATCCATTACACTATGACGAGAAGCTCCAGGGAACATTGACAGAATGTAGCAGAAGGCATCTCGAGACCATCATAGAGCATGGAAGACATTGATAGAATACAATCCAGAACTGTATATCGATAGAGTCGGTTAAGAAAATATGAGCTACTTTCTTATAATAGCCCAAGCGGATTAGCTGAAGGCTTTGAAAGAAACTTATCACTAAAATCTCGAACAAGATTATTTCCATGTATTTAGCAACAAAAAATCGGTCGTGCTTCACATTTAAGCTTAATTGGATTGTGCGAGCAGCCTTTTATCCATAAACAGAGGTCTTTCGATGTACATGCCGTCATGATCGATTGTATATGGCCTTCATTTTAATCCTCCGTTGTGCGCAATCTGAAGTTAATAATTGAAATAGTGAGAACTTACATATTACTACTGTAGTATATATATGGTCGCAATTTCGCAACAATGTATTTCGACGTTTCTCTATTTGACGAACTTCAGCTGGAACCGAGTTTTATCTATATATGAAACAGGTATTTATTTTCGAATATCTTTGATATCATTATCATTTCACACTAAAATTTTGAGATTCAATAATGTTTATCTGTAAGGTGTCGAGATTCACATAAAGGAAGTATCAAAAATACTTGCGTAATTTATATTGAGTGTCCAAGTGCTCTCAAATAGGCAATTTTGAGTGAAGGGTGTGGGTGGGTATGTAGGTGGGATGTGGGTGCGGATATGATTATTCTCTGTACCCACACGCCACACCCACACCCTCAAGATCTATGATAATGTCACATAGTGATCATGTATACCAATTAAGCATTATCCATACACGTACATTCAGATATTTGTGATTGAATTTATCTCAATGTTTGTGTTTATGTCGACAATAGCTCAATTACAATCGTCTCTTTATCACTCTGTGACGAAAAAGAAAAAGTAAATTATCGATTTTTTAGTATATAAATATGAATGATTTTCTATGTAAAATTATTCAATTTATTGAATCAAATATTAACCTTTTCTCTTTATGTTTTAGATTGGCTTCAACGATACAAAATGATTAGAATAGAATACAATTTAATATAAGATAATAAAACAATGTAGGTGTCAGTTTTTATTTATTTATTTTCCTTTTTTTCTCGATCATATGGAGAGTAGTAAGTCCTCCTATGACCTCTTTTTTGTATTTTATTTGAATTTTAGGCTTTGATCATTCAAAAAAAAATGTACGATAGGGTAAGTTATGTTTTTTTTTTTTATCATTAATTTTTTTTTCTTTGAGTTGAGATGAGATGAGAGTAGTAAGGGGTGAGTAAGGATAGGGTTTTATCTTATGAGACGGACCTCTGAGTAGTCCCTAAAAGCCCAGCCAGGAACGGCTCTGATGTCCATAGCAACAAGATCGGGTCCCCAGACTCATTGACTCATGTCATCGGATGAGTGCATGTGGAGGATATGCATTTTCCAGCACGCGTACGAGAATGGAATAAATTTCATTGCATTTTTCCATTCAATCACGATTTATTCGAAAGAGAGAAAAAGAACGAAACAAAAAGACTAATGATCGTGTTGAGTTCAATTGATATTAAACTTTTGTACTCGATGACTTCCGTATTCGTCGACATAGAGATTACCATGTCGATCGAATGATAAACCTGTGGGAAAACTGAATTGATTTGACTGTGCTCCTTCACCTTTTCTACCAACAACGACACTTCCTTGTGTGGCTCCTTTTAGCCAACGCATGATTCGATGATTCTCACCATCAACCACATAGAGAGTACCCAACTGATCGACAACGACTTCATTAGGATAATTCAATTGTGTAAGACTATTTCCTTTCCCTTGACCACCGGCTACGACAATGCCTTGTGTTGCACCTTCTTCCCATTTCATGACACGATGATTGTCATGGTCAGACACATAAACTGAATGATCTCGATCGACAAATACGTAATAGGGGTTATAGAGTTGATCGAGACGATTTCCATATGCATTGCCACCTGCAACCACTGTTCCTTTAGTGTCACCAATTTTATATCGTCTCACTTCATATTTTTCGACGTCAACCACATAGAGAAAACCATTGTCGTCTTTTGTCAAACCGACACAAGTGATATTTGAAATAATTGTTTCTCCACGAGTACTATTGCGACGACGCCATCGAACTACTCTGTGATTCCCCCAATCGCTGATGATGAGACTATCGCTCTCTTTGTCGATAATCACATCTGTTGGGTGGTTTAATTGATGAGCTCCATTTCCTGCTCCATTACCACCAGCAACTACTTTTCCATTCGTTGCCCCACATTTCCATTCCACAACGCGATCATTTACACAATCAGCAACATAGATTGTTAGATCTTCGTCGACATACAAACCACATGGGTTACAGAGTTGAGTAGTTTCATTGCCTAGTCCATTTCCACCAGCAACAGTGATACCATTCTTTGACCATGTTGCATTCACAGGAATATCAATGGAACTTGAACGCATTGGTACTGAAATGAAACAAGAGTATGAAGTAGAAATAAAAAGTAATTTCATTAAAAATGAATTCTTCATTTTGCTAAGAAATTCATGAGATATTTTTAATTTAACTGGTACGTTCAGCAGAGATATTTAATTTTTTCTAAGCATTCTCATTGAAATTTACAGCGAAAAAGAGGATTTTATTGTAAGTAATTGTTCTACTTTTACAATAAAATATTTAATCGAAACAGACAATTAAAATTGGAAAAAAAAGTTGGGTGCTAAAAATTTTTTAAAACTTCTGTGTTTCTTTTTTTTCAGAGACAAGAATTTTTCGCTTTTAAACGTATCTTTTCAGTTATTATTTTCTACTACATTAAAACACTACATTATCAATCGAAAGTTTGAATTCTAGCAAATTCAATTTAAATATCCCTATAACATGTAATGACTTCGATAACTAGTCTAAAAACATAATAGAACTTTCTTTTCTTCTTCATGTCTTCGATACTTCTCACATAACAGTATTATCGGTTGCATGAACGCAATTTTAGTTTTTTTTTGAAAAGTACAATTTGAAAGCTGAAAACTTTTCTTTTCTCTCTTACAGAGTTTCAAGAACTGAGTTTAATTGTCTTCAATTTGTCTATGAAGATTCTAGCTATAATAGAAACCTTATGGGAGTTGAATCAAATCACAAAATATATATGTGAAAACAAAATTTAGTTTTATTTCTTTTGTTCTATTAACAAAAACAAAAATACGATTTATTGATACTTATAAAAGTGTATGAAAACGATCAATGTAAAAATAATATAGTAAAACAAATTTAAATCTGTAAAAAGTTATTATTCAATATAATAGAAATTTTGTAAATATAAATTGGTCACCCTTAAAATTTGGGACATGAATAACATAATGGATGACGTAAAACATAGTTCTGTCCATGTTTTTAACATTTCTATCTCTTAATAGACCAAGCAACAGTGTTTTTATTTTCTTTGAAGAATTTCTTTTAAAACTCTATAGACGATATAATCATTTATTTCTCTCAATGTACATAAAAAGTTTAATGAAAAATATATATTTTCTCAACATTTTGTATGACGTGTTTTAAGTAATACCTTCTATTATTATCTTACCAAAAGAAGTGGAAAATATCCAAGCTGATACCAGGTATCAGTGAGAACATCTTCGAAATGTTTATGAAACGATTAAACAACTAAAACATTTTGCAGCTGAGCAAACAACTGCAGTTTAAAAATGTTAATGAAACAATAGAAATAACTGAAATTGATTAGTGAGATAGATTTTTTTTCAGATGATTGTGTAGAGTTTTCATTTAAACATCAGAACGTTCTTTCTTGAGGAATACGAATGAGTTTTCTTTTAACTCTTCACAAAAGATTTGTTTTTAATATATAAGACATCCTTCAGTTCCCGAGGCATTCTTCAAATCTACAGTGTAAGATAAACAATTCTCTAATATAACTTTTTGTTACTTTCATGCTTTAGCTCTTGCAGAGATGTATTTCTTTCGATGCTACTTTTCTTAATTGAAAAAAAATGTGTGAATTCAATTCAATTTGAATAGTTCATTGTATTTCAATCTTAAGTTTAGTTCTGATTGAGTGTGGGTGTGACTGAGTATGAAGAGAAGGCTCACATCCACACTCTCGATTATAACTTTCAACTATTTAGATCATCTAAACTAGCTGCTTGGTAAGCAACTCTCAAATAGATAGAAACTCGTGGAAGAACTTTATTGATTTTCTTATACTTTTATAAAGATATACGTGTTAAGTTCTATGATTAAAATTTGTCGATTTCTCCAATCAATTTTTAACGAAACCTTATTAGATACGCTACGACAACTGGATCTATCTTATTCTTCAGTCCGATGTGTTTCTTAATAAGAAGTTTTGATTTTAAAATGTTTTATACAAGGCTATAAAGAATCGAATGAAGAATCATTTGACATCAAGCTTATAACTTAATTGATGAATATCAGGACATAACTCAGCTTTATTTCACTTGAAAAACTCAATTATTCATTTCGTCATTGGTGAGCTGCAAAAGATGTTTCTAATGCTCTAATGTCAAGCATAAGGAAAAAGAAACTCTCGAGCTATATTATTTATTTTCACACTAATTAAAGAATATTGATAAGTCATCTTCTTCAGATTGAGAACGAACGAAAGCACGTGTAGAGATGCAGTTAAAATTCACACCGCAAATCCAATATAATATACAATCTGGGAATACTCAAATCCTCAATCACATCACTCCACAAAGTGTAATAGATCGTCCAATTTTGGATCTCGTCAACATAAACTTTACGAAAAATCTCATTAAAATTGACGATGTCTTCATGTTAGTGAGAAATACTCACAAATGATATTTAACAAGCGCTGATTATTTTAAATCACACTCTCCGAACTGCCTATTGATTACTGCATCTCAAAAAATAGAAATCAAAATTTAACTACTATAATCAATCACTCAAGTACTTCATATTCATAATTTCCTCATTGTCACATCATACCTACAGGTACTATTGCGAGTAACAACTTTAATTTTCTAAAAGGATTCTTGGATGAATACGTGTTAAATTTTTACAAGTTATCGGTTCAATGAGTTCTTAACATGGACGTATGAGATGAGCAGAATCCTTCAAATTTTACAAACAGATCAGACATACTTATACAGAGACCTCATTTAAAACTTTTGAAAATTTAAAAAGCATTTTATAGGCATGTTTTAATGCGTGTAAAAATTGTTTTCACTAGTTTTATATCGAAGAAAATTTATCAAATGAGTCGAACTTATTTCTAGAAGAGCTTTCATGAGTGGGCAAGCTATAAAAGCAACCTAGTAATTGCATATATTTAACTATGTGTCATCGAAAACAATGACCACTTTTCGTCAAATCCATGATAATTTGTTTGAGTATAAAATTCGCTTGTGCATCATACATTCTTCGATGTAGGGAACCATAAGTCCAATTGAATGATATACGACTCGTGTGAATACAATTATTTTATTAATAATCAGTTAAATTCTAGAAAAACTTACCAAACAGATATTAGATTACAATGATGACTAAGATTCGTTTATATAATACTTGAATACTTTTTTTCCTTGAATGGCACGTTGATCATCATTCATATATGAATTAGGTTGTTTCTTACATTAGCATTACGAAATTTTTCAAAAAAAGAAAACAACGTGACCATATTTGAAAGATTCAACTAACAGAATCGATTGTCAGTGTACAACTATTTATTTTCTTCGTTTCCAATGTAAACTTCTAAATTCGATCAAACAGGTAAAAGCACTTATGTTGAATAAGTTTCGAAGTGATGGTGAAGAATTAAAAGTCGTCTTTTTTACATTTGTGAATGTAAAGAATTTTCAATATGTCTGGAAGAATATTGTGAACATCAATATATTAAAAGAAAAATCTCAGTGCGATCATTTTTAACCATGACTACGATGTGATAAGAAAAAGACTGAATCGCTGTCTGATTATGTGAAATTAACTGTTTTCTAAATTTCAAAAGTTTTTAGAGATCTTATTCATCAAATGCAAAGTTCTACAAAGATGAGATTACATCAATCCATGAGGTTTAAAACTTAGAATCGCTTTTGTATAACTCATAAGACAAATGACCAACTTTTTCGTATGAGAAATCTCAAATATTTTAGTTTTATTTTGATCAGACTGTTTAGATTCGGTCACATTTAGTTACTCAGATTTAGATAGAGAATAGCAACTTTTCAGATCAAAAATTCAGATGCCACATCCAATAAGATTTTATAAGATGTTACCACTAGATTAATTAAGATCATTCTTTCAGTATTATTGAAAGACTTAAACGGACATTCTGCAATGGACAGAAGATACGAAACGTTAAGTTAGATACTACAAATGTTCCACGAGCGTCCAAAATCATCTGCAAAAATCTGTCTAAAAATGCATATCTATCGAATTGGTTCAATTGATTCGAAATTATCAAAATTTCTAAAGCTGTTACCAGTTTATTCACACTATATGCAGAATACACATATAAAGTCTAAGATAAATATATAAAATACTATAAAACGATACATAAAAATATAGAGAAGAGAAAAAAATGATCATACTTCGAAAGATCAACATGGTACTTAATTTGTGACATCTGATAAAACTGTATAATTGGATATGAGCATAAGTTTATCAATATAATGGTAAAAGTGGAAGCACAAAATAGACTACTTTACAAATATCAGCAAATGAATATAATCATATAAATGCAAGTTTATGAATATAAAAAATAGAAGGATATAATGAGAAGATATAAGATATAGCATGAAGGTTATAGCTGTTATCATGTAGTTTTTAGTATATAGATCTGAGGTTTGAGTTCAAAAGATTTTATTTACATGCGTAAGTAAAGACATAATGATTTGAATATGTTGAGGTACGCAGCATCAGATTCAAATATTGAGTTTATGTACATATTCATTATGTAGTAAATTTTTACTGGACCAGATCTTTGAGTCTCTTACAAAGAATAGAATCGTAATCTGTATAAATTTTTGTACGAACGTCCCAAAATATAAGAAAACAAAATAGTACAATTTTGTACGTTCATATAAGACCACATTATTAAATCTTCTGTGTAGCTTAATGTAAATTCTGATATAAGATTGTACAGATAACAATTTCCATATGGTTTTTCGAATTAATTTTGTATGAATCTATATGATCGTAGAGTCACACATTAAATGAACGTGCAAGATCATGTGACAACTATTACCAAAAATTTGTATAAGTGGACATAGCTAAATTCATGATCGTTAACTTATGTAACTGATTATCCTTCAGTCTATACTTTAGATATATGCATTAACACTTATCCATTAAATCTCTCTTCTAACAGTTTATATCTGTATTGCTATACCTATATATTCGATCATTTAGTTGTATATAATTATACTATTGTGTTTCGCTTTATACAGTTACATATTTATATTTAAAT